AAAAGAAAGTGAAGTCGTGGACGATCCGCAGCATGACTGACGATTTCCAACGTAGAAACATGGCCTCCCCAGAGTGCGCAATGCCGTCCAGTCCTTTCTTATTGCCTTTTGGCGTGTCCGCTGGTGTTTACCGTTAGTTGCCTCTTGCAAGACGCTAACAAAGCAAAAGTCTCTGCGATAGCTCAGAAACAAAGTGTATAAAAGGCACCAGTAGTTTAATGGTAGAATAGCAGCTTCCCATGAATCAACGGATTAAGTGATTAGCTGTTGGCTCGGGTTCGATTCCCGGCTGGCGCAATTTAATTTAATTTTTTGCAGCTTTTAAGCTGCTATTGTGTCAATAGAGAACAATGTCTGGCAACAAAAGAGACATGTTTGGACTTGGGGGTGGAGAAAAGAGCGTGTTGTTTTTTATTTGTACAATGGAGATGCTGACAAAGAATAGCGTGCGGGGCCTGCCCGCTGCTTTTATGTATGCGGGGTAAACTGGAGGTTTACCAAGACTCGTCGTCAGAGCAGGGCGAGCTCTTTTTCGACGATGTGCGGGAGCGGAGTACTCTACGGCGGCGAATGTTGTTAACGGCGTCCACATTGCCCCGTGCAAAGTCGGCATGAGCAAAAATAGTCCAGGTACACTTGCTGGGCTCGTAGCGGGACTTGCGCGCATCGCTGAGGCGCTTAAAGTTGTAGTCGTTAAAGTTTTTGTTCAGCGACGCCAAGTCTTGCGCCTTGAATCCCAGTCCTTGCAGCTCGCGCATAAGGCGGATTGGGTCGTTGTAGCGCAGCTTGGTGCCGTCCTTGCTCCACTCTATCCACGCGTGGCCCTCGCCTAGTATTTTGTATAGCGCCTGCGGGAAGGTAGCGTAGGGCTGGTCAATATTGACTAGTCTCCAGACATCCATGATGGTGATGAAAAAAAAGATATAAAGCAGTCAGAGGTAAATGAGGAACACGGAAAAAGTGATGGTGATGCCAAGAGACAGGGGCTTTAAAGTACTCTTTGTTGAACGGACTGCGCAAAAAGAGGATCGGCGGCCGGGCTGGGCAGGACAGGGGATGTGTTGCACGTGGAGAAACAAAA